TTCTGCCTCTGCTTCGGTCTTAGGGAGGGTGCCTAGGCCTCAGGGCGAGATCTCTCTTAGCATTTCTGTCCTTTCTACCACAGCAGTCAACCTCTGCTTTGTATCTGTGGTTGTAGATTGCAAGGCTCTTCTATATACTGCCAAATTGCATCCCAGAAAGCATGTGCAACCACATTTCACCAATGACAATCAAGGGTTCTACGAAACAAGGTTTTCAGTCTCGGATAGCACTGGGCTCTTTTGATATGAGTGATTCCATAATTATATTGCTCACTCATATGATGAAAATGCAACACTGGGCCTTGTGCATAGTAGGCAATAAACCACTTTTCTGGTTAACTGAGGAATCAGTGTAAATATCCTATCAGGAGTTTAGAGGTACCATTGTCATTTAGATTTGTTCCCCATTGACAGAAGCAGTCCCCACCCCACTGAGGAATTCAGAAGTACATAATTCATTCAGAAGCTCCATTTGACAGAGATGAGAAGCAATAGTGTCAGCCTGAGGCATTATGATCCCTGAATGAAAATACCACTGCCCGAGGGCTGGAACTGAATTCTGACCCTGATTCTGCCTCCAATTAGCGGTCTCTTAAATAAGCAAATTACTGACCAGTTCTGTTCCTCAGTTTATGTATCTGTCAAGTAAGGTTCATGATACTTATTTCACTTCAGTAGCTTGCTGTGAAGATAAAATGAAATTACATCGTGTAAAGCCCTTTGCAGCACTTTTTAAGTGCCATAGAAATGTGAAATATTCCTCTAAGAAGGGTCAGGGAGGTGTAGAAAACTGTGGGAGTTCGAAATTCAAGATACTCTTTTGACATCTTCACATCCTCCATGTGAGAGAGTATGTGAGAAAATGAGTATTTGCGAATATAAGAAGAGAACGAAATTAGAAATAGAGTTCTTTCTCTCACCAAAATTAGCCTACTTGTGGTAAAAGTTAATTAAGTCCTGCTCAACCAGAGAAGGGCACATCTTTAAGGGGAAATAGCACATAAGCCTTGACTCACTCAGGGAAGTGATGAGTCTGTGTCATATTTCACTCTGTACTCAGTAAGCCTCTGTTAGACTGCGTTTCCAGTAGACATAACCTGTCACTCCACCTGCTCTCTCAGGTCTAGAATCTGCCCACTGTGCTTCTTGGGTCATTAGAGGGACACACACTTAACACTCAGACAAAAGAGACAAGCAAGACAATTAACAAGCCATAAGGAAGTTTACCTGCTTCCGCCAGCTTTCATTCACACCAAAATCCAGTTGCCATCAAAGAGGAACAAAGCACACACTATGCAAAACATAGTATGTTACTTCCTCTTTTGCAACCTGTTACATTCTGTTAAAATCTTCCATTGTGGGCTGGTAGGTCTAGAGCAGCGGTCAGCAAATTACCAACCCAGGCCACCATCTGCTTTTGTAAACAAAACGGGTTTTTTTCCACATAAAAATTAGAGCTCTATTACCAATATGGTTGACTATACACAGATGAGCTAGAGACACTACCCAACATCACTTACATGTTCAAATGCCATGGGAAATTTATAGAAAAATCATTCTGGAGCTTAAAAGGACTCTGACAGGGAGATTGGTCATTGTCTTCTGCAGGCAAAACCATAAAGCATTAGAGGGCCACTGATCTTTATTTTATTTTTTTATATTTTTATTGATTTCAGGGAGAGGAAGGAAGAGGGAGAGAGAGAGAGAGAGCCACTGATCTTAATGCACACTTTAAAGATTGTCCTCAAAGTCGATTTTGTCATCTGCTTGGTAGCGTACTGCAGCTACATTTTGCAAAGTTTCATTCTTAGGGTTATTCAGTGAAAGCTTGCTTATTTTTATCACCTTTCTTCTTGTGCATAAATATTTTTTTGGTAACTATGGCAGGCAAAGTAGTGAGCAAGATCATGGCAGGACTGGAGATTCTAAGGTAGAGTGCTCATTGGTGCTCATCCATGGCTCACGTGAGTTTCATTGTATTGCCAAACGCCACCTGAAAGCCGTGCCACAGTGCTGTTCCCCCCCTCTGCTGGGCAAGAGTTCACTGGTGAACCGGCCAGATTTGTTTCCTGCGGTTGCCATAGGCTGGGTTTCTATTGTTGGGAATGGAGAAGATGAGTCATTTCTCTCAGGACGTTCTACGTGTGCGCTGGCAAGGTAGCAGCAGAGGTAGGGACCCCAGGGGCTGTTGGAAAGCTGGTGACCGTAAGTGGGGGTGGCTTAATGTTTACTAACATGTCGATTTTCAAATCATTAAACCACCCTGAGTACTTAGTGCAGCAGCAATATATGCCACTATCAGACTGGGCCGCATTCTTTCTGGTTAAAGACACATTCCCTTTCTAAATGATTCCATTTAGCTTATACGGCTGGTTCCTCCAAATGGTCAGTCTGGATCCATTAGTCCCAATCAGTTGGTTTGAACATAGAGACCACCCCATGCCCCTCGGCCCCAGCCCGTGGTTGTGACTTCACTAGCTGCTGAGTAGGTACAGGGCAGCTTGACAGACTGACCCACCATGCCACTCACTCATACCTGAGAGACGACAGCATCTGTCCAAAGTAGTGTGAGGCCTGTGAAGGCTGCACAAGGGTGCAGGATGGTATCAGTGTGGCTCCTCCTTTATATCTTTAGTGGTAGGAATTCTGTTCAGCTACTCTTGGGTGGTTCTCGATGATGGTTCGTCTACAGTTAATTGGAATTCTGAAGTGCTCCTTAAATAAAGTTGTATTGGGACACAACCACTCTCATTTCAGTGAGTATTGTATATGGCTGCTCTAGTGCTACAGGGGCAGAGCTGAGTAGCTGCAATAAAGATTGTATGGCCTATGAAGCCAAATATTTGCTCTCTGGTGGCCCTTTGTAGAAGTTTGGCTCTCCTTGGTCTGGAGCAATGATATGCATCCTGTCCACTCCCCTCCGGCATTACCAAAACACATTTGTTTTATTCATGTTTCTTTCTGCTTCTTTCATTTAATGAATTATTATTGATTTATGCGTTAACATTTAATAATAATGGGATGTAGAGAGTTCTTCAGATGGGAGAATGTATAATGGCTAACAGCATTGAATTAGAAAGGTTTATTGAAAATACAGGCCAAAAAGAACATCTAAATAATACTCCATGAGAGTGCAACCAGCCATGTCCAGAATGTAGGAAATGCTACACAATAAATTACCCTGGTGTTTTTTTCTTTTGTTTTGTTGTTGTTGTTTCAGTAAATATATAGACATGGGGAAAAGAAGGTAGAGGAGGGCGCCTCTGGAGATTGAAAGAGACCTAAGGGACAGTTCAACCTCGATGTGCATCTTCTTCTAATTTGACCAACCCAGCTGAGGTTAATTGGAGATGATGGGAGAATTTGAAGTTTGACAGGGTCTTGGTGTTATGAAGTTATTTGTTATAAGGGTATTGTGATTTTTAAGACATCCTTATCTGTTAGAGATCATTAAATGGTAGTCTTTGTGGGTGAAATAACAGGTTTCCTAAACTTTTTTTTTCTTTTCTTAAACTCCTTCAGCCAGAAAAACATCATAGGGAGTACAGAAGAAATAATATTGGCAAAAGATTGAGAATTATTGAAGTGGGGTGATGCTGTTTATGCTTTTCTCTGAAATGTTGTGCCTGTTTGAAAATTTTCATTATAAAGTGTATTATTATTTTTTAAAACCATGAGTTTAAGTGCCAGGTTTTTATTTGAATCTGGGTTTTGCTAGCTGTTTCTAGATCGGTTAAAATGGGCATTATAATTCAGGTTGTATACGACATTGTGAGGATTATGAGAATTAAATGAGATAGTAAAGAGTTTAGCGCAGTGCCTAACACATAGGAAATGATCAATACCTGGTAGCTATTATATTGTATCTGCTATCAAACAACAAAAACAAAACCCCTTTTGGGCTCAGTTCATGTATCATGTAATTGACTTTTGTGAATAACAGCTCCTAAACCCATATTGCTGCTGCACAAGGATATCAGGAACTGAAATACGGAATGTTTTTCACGGTGTGCACGTAATTCCTTGGCATTCTGAAAACAGCCACAGCACCCGTACAGATGCAAAGAGGAAGAACTATGGCTCCGAAATCATGATTGGATTTTCAGATTGTCCTATGATGGCTCTTTCTCCACAGCAGATTTTTTAAAATCCATCGTCAGTTTTGTGTGGTATTGCCAACAAATGCCTGTGAACACGTTTTAACCAATGTACATGGGAAGCCCTGTGACTCTACGGTAGTGACAGATTTCCCAGTTTGTGCTCAGTGGAGCCCAGGAAGGCTGAGTCCTGTGATCCTGCTTTAACTCAGCCTGGGCTGACTTAGCTGCTTCCTGGTCAGCCACTCATTAGCCCAGTGGTTCTCAACCTTCCTAATGCCGCGACCCTTTAATACAGTTCCTCATGTTGTGGTGACCCCCAACCATAAAATTATTTTCGTTGCTACTTCATAACTGTAATTTTGCTACTGTTATGAATTGTAATGTAAATATCTGATATGCAGGATGTATTTTCATTGTTACAAATTGAACATAATTAAAGCATAGTGATTAATCACAAAAACAATATGTAATTATATATGTGTTTTCCGATGGTCTTAGGCGACCCATGTGAAAGGGTCGTTTGACCCCCAAAGGGGTCGCGACCCACAGGTTGAGAACCGCTGCACTAGCCACCATGTATCTCGCAAACTTGTAGGAAAACACATTGACTTAAAGGTCCAGGATATTTGAGCCTCCCCACTAAGTAAAAGAAAATCATTATCTCATCCATCAACCACCTCAGGTAAATCAAATAAATGAGCTGGGACTTTTTATGGGTGTGGGAAGGTGTCTCCTTCTGAAGACAGTTACTATCGGAAAGAAATATTGGGAGCCTGCTATTCAAAATGTTTTTTATAAAAAGAAGAAGCATGAAGACTGGTTGTGGGGGGTTTAGGAAACAATGTTTTGGTTAAACTGAAGATATCCAAATTTTAATTTTTTTTGTCTCTTCTTCCACAGAATGACATCACTCCTTTACATGTTGCATCAAAAAGAGGAAATGCCAACATGGTAAAACTACTGCTTGATCGAGGAGCTAAAATCGATGCCAAAACAAGGGTAGGAGTCCGTTTATGTGCATGCTTACCCTTTTTTTTTGGGAGGTAGGGATACTTCTCCTAATAGCTTTGCACTGGTTCAGTCTTGGCTTTATGTTTGTTCATTTGTTGTAGTCTCTTGGAAAATGACTGCTAAGTTTTTTCTCCTTAAAATGGGATGATAATCCATATTTGTAAATCTTTAATACATGTTTAAATAGTGCATGGCTTTAATTACAGAATCTAAGGTCTAAAGCCTAGAGTTTTAGTTGAGTTAAATTTTCAAGAATTTAGCCACTACTTGACACTCCAGGCTTAGCTATTCAGTCAGTTTGATGCTAAACCTGACTTAAAAAGAAACCTTTCTACCATTGTGCCCTGCTGATGGGAATGTAAAATGGTACAGCTGCTATAGAAAAGCATATTGAGGTTCCTTAAAAAAACTGAAAATAGAATTGCCCCATGATCCAGTAATTCCACTCCTGGGTATAATTGGTAGAATTTTTGTTGCCTGGGGAACAAGAAAATGGGGAGTTGTTGATCAGTGGGTATATAGTTTCAGTTTTGCAAGAAGATAAAGTTCTAGAGATGTTATGCAGCAAGGTGAGTAAAGCTAACATTACTGAACTGTATATTTAAAAATGGCTAAGAAAGTAACTTTTATATTTTTTACAATTAAAATTTTTTTGAAAACCACATATCTATCTAGCTAGGTTCTTGGCAGGTTGCTTTTCTGGTGCGATGCATTGTGAGTGAGGAAAGAACTGAGACTGCGAATCAAGCTTGAATCCCAGGTTCTGAGGTTAGCTAGTTGACTTAGGTAGGATATTTAACCTTCTGCATGTTATTTCTCTTTGCAAATAAGAACCATTAATGGCTACCGTGCAGCATTGTCATAAGATCAAGCTAATGTTTGTAAACTGTGTGGTATAAAGTCATCCAGAAATAAATCCTAGCCATTGCTAGTATATCTCAGAGCTCCAATCGCATTAAGCTTCTAACCAGGGCATTTCTTTCAGCATTTCATGCATTTGTTACAAGGTGCGAGCAAGAGCCAGGCTAATAAAAGGTGGTCGTGCCGTAGACATCCACCTAGGTAGGAATTTTGGATAGCTTTCCCTGTCTTGTCATTGTACCTCCCACAACCCTGTGCTTCTTCCTTCAAGAATCCTGAACTTCATGTGTCTACAACTGGCCTGGTATCCTGAACTTGACTCCTGTAGCTCCTAAATGGACTATGTCGTTTATTAGTCACTACATTTATTCCCTCAACTAGTAAATGATTACCGAGCACCTACCTGGGGCCAGACCTAGAGGTTGGATGGGGGAGGGCGGGGGGGGGGGGGGGGGGGACGGTGGTTGGAACAAGACAAGACACTTCCCTGCCCTCATGGCGCTGATGGGAAGCTTGTCTCCTGTGTTCTAACCCTAAGGTAGCCCAGCCGTAGGTATTTGGCAGAAGACCCAAATGTCTTTTTCCTGATGACTGTTGAACCTGAAAATTAGGGATGTATTTTAAAAGAAACACGCTTTCCCAAAAGGAGTGAAGAAAGATGAGGGTTGACCCGTCTGACTGGGGAAGTAAATTGAATTACAATAAAATATATATTGTTATGTAATAATATAATCTAATGAATAATATATTATTTAGACTCCACTGATAAGTTAAGGATACACGCTGTAATCCTTAACTTGAATAGAGACCTTATTGAACTGACTTTGCGTCATTTAATAAGAAGCAATTGCCAGTAGATAACAAATGCTAGAGCCATTGCTTTAAATGCCAGAGGTCTTCTGCTAAGTACGGGCTGTTTAAAGAGACTGTAAGGAATGAAAGACAGAGAGGCCTTGCTTATGCCAGTTGAATATCACGGAAGCTAATGGATTGTTTGTAAATAGGGAGAATCTTTGAGAAGGGAAGTGAGGGAGGATGCAGTCAATGGGAAAGATAAGCTTGAAAAGACATATCTGGATTTCCAGCTGAGGTTTTAGCAAATGTGCGGATCCGAAGTCACCTCATTTCATCCTCTCTTGATACAAGCGTCAATCACTTCTCAATCGTTTATCAAACAGTTGCTGTTTTGGGTACAAAGAGAGAAGAAACGGGTACACAGGAAATTCTGGCCCCATCTTTATGGGGCATATGGTGTCCTAGGGCAGGGCCAGGATAAAAGCACAAAACACGCTCCTGAGAGAAAGTATCAGAAATGAAATAATGTGCACAGGCACACTGATGGCGCAACCGGGTTTCCGTGCCACGCTGCCTCCCTGTTCTGAAAGGCTGTCTTCTTTTAAACGAGACGTAGATTCCCTCCTATGGGTTTAAACTGGGTTTACCTTCCTCGTGTGTTGTGTAAGTGACGTGTGAGTGTGAGGGAGACTTGGAGAAGCTGAGAACGGAAAAGCCCATTCTTCTATTGTTGTCCTGCGTGGAGTGGGGTGAAGGTGGGACCAGGCGCCGACTGAATTCCTGGCAGACGATATGGGAGAAAGTGTAGTATATACTCAAAATACGTAAACTATTCTGTGGTCTCCTCATCAGAGCTTCCCTTGTCTCTTGCTGAAATAACTGAGTGGCTAGATATGTGGGCTTGAAAGGGAGGGAGGGAGCCAGCTAAAATGTCAGAAAGCCCTGGGGACAAGCCTAAAACCTGACAACAAATTTTCATCACTATGTGTTTTAACAAAGCCCAGTGGCTCTTGAGAAAATATTCTTATCTACCCAGCTACCTCCTACAAGGTACATGCTACTGCTGGGGCTACCTTGTTGTTTGTTTTTGTTTTGTTTTTTCTTTATTGATTAAGGTATTACATAGTGTCCTTATCCCCACATTGCCCCTCCCACCCTCCCACCCCCGCTCATGCCCTCACCCCCTTAGTGTCTGTGTCCCTTGGTTAGGCTTACATGCATGCATACAAGTCCTTTGGTTGATCTCTCCCTCTCCCCCACCCCACCCTCCCCTACCTTCCTTCGGAGGTTTGACAGTCTGATCGATGCTTCTCTGTCTCTGGATCTGTTTTGTTCATCAGTTTATGTTGTTCATTATATTCCACAAATGAGTGAGAGCATGTGATATTTATCTTTCTCCAGCTGACTTATTTCGCTTAGCATAATGCTCTCCAGGTCTATCCATGGTTGTTGCAAGTGGTAGGAGTTCCTTCCTTTTTATAGCAGCATAGTATTCCATTGTGTAGATGTGCCAAAGTTTTTTAATCCACTCATCTGCTGATGGGCACTTAGGCTGTTCCCAAATTTTAGCTATTGTAAATTGTGCTGCTATGAACATAGGGGTGCATATATCCTTTCTGATTGGTGTTTCTAGTTTCTTAGGGGGATACCTTGTTGCATTACGAATCAGACCTGGTACACACCAATCCCTCTAGAGACAGGGAAAAAAACATGGATTCACCTCAGACACCAGCACTCTAAGGGACCTAATTTCCTTGTTGTTCCCTGCATGGGTTGCTGATCTAATAAAGAATTCCATTTAAAAGCAGACCCTTAGGCCCAGCCAATGTGGCTCAGTGGTTGAGAATCGACCTATGAACCGGTCATGGTTCAATTCCCAGTCAGGGCACATGCCCAGGTTGTGGGCTCAACCCCCAGTGTGGGGCGTGCAGGAGGCAACTGAATAATTATTCTCTCTCATCTTTGATGTTTTTCTCTTTCTCTCTTCCTCTCTCTGAAATCAATGAAAATATATTTTTTAAAATAATAAATAAATAAAAATATCAGTCTATTAGGTTTATAATATATTTGGAAGTAAAATATTACATATATATATAGCAAAAAATAAAACTAATAATGTATATACAATTATAATATTCCAAAATTCTTATACATGAAGTGGTATAATCTTATTTCAATATAATATATTATTATGTAATAATATAATCTAATGAATAATATATTATTTAGACTCCACTGATAAGTTAAGGATACACGCTGTAATCCCTAGGGCAACCACTAAAAAGAGATTTAGTTAAAAATCCAAAGTAGAAGGTAGCCAGTGGCCTATATGATCATTAAGTGATTAGAATAATAAATAATGCTCAAACGAAAAGAAGACCAGAAAGGAGGGACAAAAAACATGGAGAATGGGAAAAGACACAACAAATAGCATAAGGGCTTATTTTTAGGCTCAGAGAGAAAGCTGTGATTTTCCAAGCAGAAAGAACAACAGAAGGATTTTGCCTTATTTTAGTTTAGTATTAAACATACAGAATGCATGGCAGGATAAAAAGGAAGGGAATTAGAAAGATATTTCTCTCTTTTATATATAAACGGCCACAGTGAATTCTTAATGGGAAAAGGAAATTGCTTGGTGCATAGAAGGAATCCAGTCCCTCTGACGGAGGGAGGCAAGCCTGAGGTTAACGTCTAATGTCAAGCATTTCCTTGCATGTGACCTCGGGTGAGTACATCAGTCCTCTGGAGCAGCTTTCTCAGCTGTAAGTGAAGTTCACATGCCATTTCTCACAACTTGTAGAGATTCAGTAGAACCCTAAGAACAGAGCACCTGTGACAATAGAAGGGCTTCCAAAAACGTCATTTCACTTCCTCTTAGGCCAACTCTCCAACTGCCCAGCACGCACAAAGGGAGGATACAGTCAGAACTTGTAGTGAAAGACACAGATGTGAGAGTCGCTATTAGACTGTAACCGGTGCTCTTTCCTGTGTCTGGTTGTCGTCATCACTCTCTCCTCCGGAGCTCTACCTGTTTCTTCGTGGTTTTTAGTTTACAATTAAATATCGCATCCTGTTTTCCATCCACAATAGAGAAAAGTGTGTATCCACAGAGTTCTCCCTGCTCCATTTCCTTTCTCTTCTCCAGAGTGAGTTTTTGCTTAAAAGAAAGAAAAGAAAGGAAACTAGAGGCTACAAATCAAAATAAGTGTCTCTTTTTGACAGTATTTCCCCAGTCACAGATTTGTGTCATTTCAGTTTGGGCTTTGAGCAGATTCACCTGTTATGGACATATTCCAGCTTCAGCTTCAGTATTCCTAGGTGTGATGCCGTAA